ACTACATCTATCAACTCTAAAGATAGATGCTTTTGTACTGCCAATCAAAAGATAGTATCTAAAATTTATAACACTTACTATGGAGAATAATTTGCATTGAAAATCAATGCCTAGACTTTGCGTAAACCCCTTGTGCAACTAGTCTTGCTCTGATCTCACCACCGCATTGTTCTCAATCCATTATAGGATGAAAACACTTTTGTATCCCACAGTAAAGATACCTCAAGGTGTTGGCATCACAGCCCCAAAAAACCTCTTTTTAGAGAGCAAGACTATCTCTGCATGTATTACATCACTCAATAAGTTCCAGTTAGAGTGAGAAAGCACTCTGCCATGGTCTTATTCACTGGATGACTTGGAATGTTGTTTACAATTTATTCAGAAAAGTATGTGTCAACACATGTAGCTTCTTTTTTCATATAATTTTCCGGTCTATCAAAACTCAAAGTACCCTGAATGACTCATCATGACTTCCTGAAATGAGAGTCATGACTTTCCAATATCCGAACATCAGCATTTAGGTGTACCTCTGAGCTAGGTTTGTGGAAGACATCCATCCACTGGGTAATAACCAATATTTATCCACAAGGTGTTGCCAACCATAGATTGATGTGCATTTACTATGTTATCTTAGAAGGAAAACCTTCTATTGCTAGCATGAATAATCCTGCTTTATGGCCATACTTCTCCCCCTGTTATTTACAATTAGGAGTTGAGTGGTTTTACTTGGTACCACCACTCTTTCTGGCACATACTTGCAAAGGATTAACAAGTTTAAAAGATACCTTAGTAATCAATAAATGCATTTATTAGCTTATTTGCAATGTTTTGCAAATCAACAATTCTTTGAACTCAAAATTTAGTTCATTTAGTACATGATCCTGAGCTGGTAATGTCTTACACATTTCAAATAATTTCCTGGCATTATATATGGTACGTCAAATCTTCCCCCGATGCCTGGAAATGCTCATTATCAAAGTAAACCAGCATATGGTCGTAAAATAGATCCTCCATAAGAGGTTCTAGCTACTTAACAATCGACGGAGATTGAAATCTCACATTGATCTCCAGTTTCCTGTGTGTACCCATCAATGTATGTTGCGGTGGTGAGATCGGTATGTATACAACGTAACCCAATCTTATGCAAATAGGAAATCTTCATGGATTCTCACATACTAAATGCATATAGGGGATATGCAGTTAATCATAAGTCAGGAGTGTGTAAATCTGCCTGATCCCAACACGAAGTTGGCAAATAGCAATTCACTAATAGTGGTCCTAGTATGATCTTGATGTCTTTCTCATAGATTCCATTTATTCTTTTGGATATGTAACTAAATTTTTGTTATACCAAACAATCGTCATTGTAGGCACAAAAATCTAGTAGTGTTCAGGATAATGATCTCACAACATGAGCCATTATTTACCAAATGCATGGCTGAGTGTGAATACTTCACACGCTATAGATCATCTTATAGATGTATCTTCACAACCATGAAATGCTTAAATTGTCCATACAATCTTTGTATCGAACCCACACATATTCTCTTGAATATGATCTAGAAATCTAAGACAATCAATCTGATTTTAAGATAAGAGGGTCTTAAAATCTGTTTCCCTATGGCACTTATCGTATCCACACTTCGGGAAAATCATGACTAAAAGAATTGCCAATAATTTTTCACTCATCCCTTTGGATGGCCAAGATGATCATTCCAAATCTGGAATGCATCAATAGTGTAAAAAATTATCTTATACGCAACATGTTGTACGGGAATGGTTGTATGCATAATACAATCAAAACAAGACTTATCTCATTACTTATATGCCATATCTAATGTTGTCTTTTTGTGTTTCCATACGAAAAAACATTTGGATATCTCTATAATTTGGTATGGTGTGAGTTGAATTAGGACATAATTAAATATCCTCAACTACTAACTCAATATCCATAGGAAGAATGATAGTGGCAACACAGGCCAAACTATCATTGCATCGCATCAATGATGGCCAAAATTATTCCCTCTTCTTGTCATAAGAACTAGGAATATTTTATTTCCCTAATTATAGAGTTTGTGGTACAAATCTCCACTAGGCACATATCATTCCCACATTGGAATGATTCCCATACAATCTATATATGATAAGAATTCAATGCAATTCTCGTCTAATATATAAAAATCCATAAATATTGTTGAGTATCAAATACATCAATATGATACGCACAATAATTATGCTTCGACAACAAAGTATTACAACATATTCCGATGGACATTATCAAATATCAATGGACCATGAGAGTATTCAAAATCTCAAAGTAAGTCATTTCAAGTCATTCAAAGCATATTCGATGATCATGTGGTCCATGTATTTGAGGTTCTCTTATGAGAAAAAGAGGAGTGTTGTTACGCGATCCCATAAGATCCAGCAAAACAACCAACTTTCTAGGTAGCTTCAGATTTAAGATTGAAACATACTTCATATCTTATGTCTTAGCTCCTATTTCATCCATTATAGACTTTTGATATAGATCAATTACAAATTTAAGACTACAACGTTGTTTAGCGCTATGCTAAACACAACCACATATATGACATTGCTCTTTGTCATTCTTGGGTTCACATTTGCCATGACTCTTATTTTGCACATTAGGCCTTTTGCTTCTGCCACTAGAAGCAAATTGTATGACTAATACGATTGTAGTCTTCCATGGTTTGAAAACTAGAGACATGATCGACTCATGATTAGTCTCAAGCTATATGAGTTCATTTATTATTCATAACACTCCTAAAGATTGAGCCATAAAGTATGTGCATTTCTTTCCACAAGATAGTCTTATCGAGGATCTTTATGGACGTAGTACCTTCACAACATTAAGGCACAAGTTTCTTTGATCTATAACAAAATAATCCCTAATTGAGGTTCATTAAATTCTTCCATCAGTCTATGAGATAAAACTAATGTTAATGTCCATTGTCCAGGTGGGATAGTGATGCCATCTAGAGCGAGTTCATCAAACTCCTCTGAAGTCAGTATCCATAACATGTGACAAACCATTGATTTAATTAAATTACACCTAAGGTAAATTAAAAATCACTATGGTGATGTTGTAATCTCCAATGCAAAATTTTAAGGGGTTCCATATCATGTCACTTTGTTTTGGATAGTTGGAGGCAGCCACAACAATTGTAAACCTTCCAACAATTAGAGGTAATCACAAGATGTGTATACCCCACAAACAATCATTATTAATGTTGGTACACACATTGTAGATAATCTCTATGTCTGAAACATAGAGTAGATCTCTCAGTAGTAGGCAAATAAATTGCTGCTATAGGCACGGTTTCTAGGCTGATATATATGTATGAATATACCGCAGCCAATGCTTAAGACTCTACCACCCGTGTAGCCTTTAATAATGAATAATGGTAGTTACCATAAAAGTATACCATTCTTATATTTCCAAAATAATTATTTGGGACAACACAATGTAGGTAATCATCAAGTTTAAATATGATGTTGACCTCTCAGCAATGGGCGAATGATCACTACCATAGGCACAGTCTCTTGGCCAAATAATTCAATATGAATTAAGCGTGACCAATGCCTAGGACTCCATCACTTATGTTAGGATCCCAAATGTATCCAAGATATGAATATAACAATTTTGCAAAATCCATCATTAATTAAAAACGCTTAATTAAGAGGATCAACCATTGTTAAAATGCAATTTATGAAGAATTACCAAATTAACAAGGTCAACAAAGTACATGAATGAATACTACGTGCCAATATTGTTAAAGTCAGAGACTCAAAACAAAAAGAACTTACTAAGCACATAGTGCTATAGTTGGGTAGTGGCATAATTTATGCAAAATCCCGTAGGATAAAAGCAAAAATCCACTTCCTATGTTAGCCTTAGCAACGAAAATGGTTTGGCTGCCATTTTGCCTTTTCGAACTAGGCTTATATGAACCTAAATTTATCCATCCTTAATTAACTATCAAGTAATTAAGGGGATCCGATTTTGCTGCAACTAAAATTAATTGCCAAACAACAAAACCGACAAACTATGTATGTTTAGACAAACAATTTCTGGTCTAAAAACAGAAACAATGTATAGGAGTAAAACTCTGCCATACACTACTGTTAAAGTCTATGACTAAAACGGAAAATTATAGACACAAAAAAACATGTCTAAACATTATGATAGTAAATTCAACTGCAATATAATATCATGATGTAATTTATGAGAATTGATACGTCTCAAAAAATAGCTCTTTACACTAGATAAATAATTGTATCATAATTTATGTATATCTGAAATCTAAACATAGCATTTAAATCCTATATAAATGCGGTATATATTGCAGTGATGATTTATGTTAAAATCTGAGGGCTAAAAACATAAAAATCAGGGATACGTTAATAATCAATATAGACTATTATGCAATTCATATGAACGATAAGGGACTTCTATGCGAAATGGCACAACCTTATCCCTTTCCTGGGACGCCTCACGGACGGTTTCCATCATCAGGTGGCCAGTCGGCCTCTCGGCCCTGCCGTGAGGACGCCGCCGCCGTTTAGGCTCCTCAGCCAGCCACCATTGGGACCGGCCGCCGCCGGGTTGGCCTCTGGCCGCCGGCGCAAGGCCGTAGCGAGGTGTGGGCCCGGTCGCAAGGAGCCGCCTGGCCGCGGCGCGTGGCCGCTAGCGCGGGGCTGCCGGCCTCGGGCGCAGGAGCCTGCCGTGACGCGAGGCGGGAGCCGTCGGCGCTGGGGCCAACCACCACTGCCAGCCCCGCGAAGGGCCTAGACTCGGGGCCGGCCACCGGTCAGTCGGATCCATCGTCTGCTGCGATGTGGGGGTGATTGGCCCGGTCGTCGCCGCCGCCGCCTAGCGCGTGCGGGCGCCGCCGCTGCCGGCCTGGTCTGGGCGAGCGCCACCACTGCCAGTCTAGCGTGAGCAGGCGCCCGAGTCATCGTTTTCCACCACTGCCATGGCGAGCTCTGCAGAGGACCCTCGCTCAAGCCACGGCAGCACAACCACGGTGCTGGTTGCAAATACGGCGAGCTCCGGCCGCCAAGGGCCGTCGATTCAAGCCGCAGGTGTAGACACGAACAGGGCGCACATCCGTCAGCCCGGGAGTGCGGACACCACCGTCCACGATTGCTATGCCCAGAATCAAAGAAAACATGAACACAGCCAACAGGTTCGTACCTTATTTTCATATATGTGGAGATCAATTTCTTGTAGAATCTAGTAGATTTGCCTGTTGTTCTTTGACTTGTGTCACCGGATCTCCACAAATGCAGGCCAAGCAGAAAACAAGAAATACCAGTGGCATCCTGTCTCCTTTCTCCAGCACGGCAAGATTCCTCTGTTCTTCAGTTGATGCAGTGGAGGCCGATTCTTCCTCTTGCAAGTTCCCCGGTGAAGTCTCTCCGGCGAACTATCTCGGCCTGAAGAACGGCATCATCAGCGGCGAGGCCGTATGGCTTGTTTTTACGAACTCAGAAACTCAGTGGTAGTGAGCGTGCCGGTAACGTGTTAGAAAGCAGAGAGCGAGAGCCAAGCGAGTGATGCAAATGATCTCTGTGTATTTCATTGAAAAGTGATGTACATATATATACAGGGCCCAGATAAGCAGTTACAAGTATGAGAGAGAGAGAGGAGTGAAAAGACACCTTTGGATTAATCCTAATTGATCATTAAATAATAATTCTCAACAAATTCCATGCGGATCCTATCTGAATTCATCTCTATATATAGAGCAGGTAATATAAGGTGCCTACGTAATTCATCTCTATATAGAGCAGGTAATGGTGCCTACGTAATTCATCTCCATATATAGAGCAGATAATGGTGTGGCCCTTGCCTGGGCTGCAGAAGTGGCAGTACATCTTCGAGGGGTCCTTTGGTGGAGGTTTATTTGCTGGGTTGTTTCTGCGTTCACTTCGGTTGGCAGGTGTTTCCTGGGGTCTTCGTTGTGGCTGCTGTTTTTTGGTTTGGTGGGGGTGTGTTGTTTATGGCGTTGACATTGATGGGTTCTCCACGAGGGTATGGGAATCGCTGCTACGATCTTGGTGAGGGTCATGGTTGTGACCTTTGTGCCTCGAATTTCGTTCAGAAATCTGCATCAGCTCAGCAGTATTTTTCCATGACTTCATGCAAGTTTGCGATGATTGTTGCTGGCTTCCTTGCGAGCCTGGATGAGCAGGAACCCGAGCATAGGCCGTTGACTGCCGCGAGGATGACTGCGTCGTCGGTTATGTTCAGGGTACGGGCCCTTAAGTCAATGAAGCTTCACCAGTACTCTGGGAGTGGTTCTCTCTCCCCTTGTTTGCAGCTGAAGAGGTCCATCGGATGGTTGGGGGCTATGTTTACGCATTTGAAGTTGGAACATAATTTGTCGCGGAGGTCTCAGGACTCGATGGAGCCGGGGCGAAGGTTGGCATACTAGCTTTGTGCGATGTCGCGAGCGATGATAACGAATGACTTGGCCATGGTGGCCTCGTTGTCGCCTGCCGCTGTAACGGCTGCTTCATAGCTCATGATGAATTGTCGGGGGTCAATGTTGCCATCACACCTCGGGAGGTTTTGTGGGTTGTAAGTTGGCGGCCATCTTTTTGTTTGTAGAATATGGGTTAGGGGTGATATTGGATCGTAGGGCATTGGTGGTTGTTGGTTTCTTTAAATTGGTGGTGGGTTGCCGAAGTCGGGGTAGAGCTGATGGATACCGGGTTTGGTGGATGTGGGGGTGGAGGTGGGCTGTTTCACGGTTGGGCGATGCCCTGGTTGTGGCGAGGGTGGATGTCTTGGGGATCCTCGGGGAAGGGGTGGTGTTCTCCCTGACAAGGCTGCTCATTCGGATTACCCTTGGCGGCGACGAGGTACTCATCCATTCTTCTCAACTGCTCTCGAGCCTTGGCTGTTTCTGCCGGATCACACGAGGACACGCCTATCTCCCTAGAGCATCGACGTAGTGCCTCTTCTACTGTAGTTCCTCATGCATCTGATCTAAGGCGGCGAGGCCCCTTTCCTCGGCCTCGTCGCCATCCTCTGCATCTTGCCCACTGGGCTGTTGGGACACCCCATGCTGGGCGGGGGTTCCGCCATGATGACGGTTCCCACCAGGACTCCCTCTCCCGAGGCCGGCTCTGTAGGGTGAGTGGCTTGGTTTGCTCTGCCCCCTGCAGCGAAGATCTGTGGTGGAGGTGGATCCCTATCATGGGTCCTCAGCGTTTCGACAGTCATTCTTTGGGTGTGCGATGGGATCCCCATGGACGGCACCAACTATGGGGCTTCGCCTGACCTCCCACCCTTGATATAGGCTAGCACGGGGGAGGTCGAGGGTTGCCCACAAGAATGAAAGCGTGAAGGTAAAAGTTAGCGGGACACGGGAGCGTGGCAATAAATTTTGGAATAAATTGCAATTAATTCATGTTCGGAACGCAATGCCACCCACCAGGTATTTATAGACCATACCCGGGGGTGGAGTGAAGATTCATCATGCCCTTAAGTGCGGGGTAAAGTGCTGTACAATCTCACAGAGGCATGGTGGTCATCTCGCATGCTTCTGCCAACAACTCCCATAACAGCACCCTCGACACGTCCTCAGGTCCTCTGTCTTTCACCTCCCGTCAGACGGCATGGGCCAGACTTCGCAGAGGTCCCATCCCCGCTGAGGGTCCGCACGCATACCTGCAACTGCACAGAATCAGCATATTTTCAGCCGGGGAACCTTCGCCGCAAACAGTCGTGAATCCCAGCGAGGGCGGGCGAGGGTAGGCCAGGGCGGCTTGCAGGAGGTGATCCCCCCAACACATATGCTGAGCAACTGCGACCCTAGATCCAAAGAGGAGAGTATGGATCTGGGCCTCCCTAATCAGCACAAGGTGTCCTGCATGGAGTGTGAGGATACCAACAATGGATGGGCTCATAATATGCCAGCTTGCTGATGGAGGAAGGTGGGTGAGCATGGTGGAGAGGGAGGAAGGTGGGCACCAGTGATAGGGCGTAGTGGAGAGGGAGGCAGCCCAGTGGTGGAGCCGAGGGAGGCCAACGAGGTCCGTGGCGCCCCTAACATATGACAACAAATTGTTTTATTAGTATAATCTTATCATTTTTATTTATATTTAGTGAAGAGTATAAAAAATATTGTCATATATACCTATTGATATCTTCTACTCACTTATTTCAATAAAAAGTGTCATTCTTACTTTTCGAGAAGTCAAACATTTTTAACTTTAACCAAATATATAAGAAAATATTAACAATTATAGTACATAATTAGTAGCATTAGATAGATCGTTAAATATATTTTCAATAAACTTATTTTGAGATATCAAGATTACTAATATTAATACCACCCACTACTATAGATAGAGCGATCATCGTCGCCACTTTCACTACCGTAGAATACAGAAGCGATGGTGCGATACTTCACTACCGTTGCATCGATAGCGAGGCCTAGAAAGGAGTCAAAGCGGCAGATGAAATTTCTATCACTGACGGTTCAACATCGATGCGGCAGTGCTAGTGGGGTCGCATTCTTCCATCGTTTGGAAACCCAAGCCGACTGAGATACGCATTATGGCTGCTGGTCCTACACAACCGTTTGGTCCACCTACGGTAAATTCAGCATGAGTGTTGAATGTCCTAACTTTCAACACTGTCTCACCACTTCCGACGCATACCGGCGTACCTCGTCTTTCATGATGCGTATGCCTAGATCACGGATCTTAACTGCTCCTTTCTGCTTCTCTATCTTCAAGGTTGGCCTATTTAAGCCGGGTCTAGATTCACCTCTTGGGCTCATTCCACACACTCTTCCTCCTTGAATCCTTTAGAATAGATACAAACAAAGCTCATGAGCCAATCGTCTTTCTTCAACGCCTAGAGGTGCTTTATCTTCCAACTTGAAGCTCTTACGCATCGTGAGAGCTTCAAGATGGAAATAAAGACACGTCACTGAGATGCTGCTGGTTCAATTTTGCGAGGTGGTCCTTCTTCAAGATTGGGTGTATATTCCATCTTGCTACCTCTGAGCATCGAGATGCAGATCTGCATCCCTCCACCCTTAGAGGTAGCAAGATGGAAGATAAAGCACCTCACTGAGATGCTAGATCTCCCAGGCTAAGGCCTAGTGCTCGTGTTGCAAGATGTTGAATAGGAGAGCAACCTTAATGATTGTAGATCTTCTCTTAATAGAGGATCAGAAAATTTGCAATCATCAAGGTGCTCTCCTGTTCTGGGGCTCCGATCCATACTCGACAGGTTATCAATCGACTAAGATTGGGTGCTTTATATTCCATCTTGGTGCCTTTAAGGTATCAAGATGGAAGATAAAGCACCTCACTGAGATGCTAGTTCAAGTTTGCGAGGAGGTGCTCCTTCAAGATTGGGTGCTTTATATTCCATCTCTGTCCTCTCACGGTCAAGAAGCTGATCTGCATCCCTCGACCATGAGGGGTGCGAGATGGAAGGTAGAGCACCTCACTGAGATGCTGGTCGAAGTTTTGTGAGGTGCTGCCTCATTCTTGCTCTCTAGGTCTGTGGCCTAGTCCTTGCTGAGTTGCTGGTGGAGTGTTTCTTTGTATCTGCAAATAGCCGTATGATATGGCTTTGTTATCGCTGAAAGGTCCTTATTTGGTTTTGGTAATTGAGTGACAATCTAGGTGGACTAATATGTCGTTAAGTGAAATACATAGGAGATTAGTCCACAACTACATGTGTGATGAAGGAGTTCATTGCATATGAGACATGACATGGAGTCATGTGTAACACCCTCGGTGTTACATTGTACAATCTTTTGCTAAAACACTGCATGAGCGTCATGTTTATGTGAGTGTATGTAATATAGTGTGTAAATCAAATTCTGTGACCCAAAACGTTCATCGAAAACGCAAAATGAAAGTTACATTCAATGTCGCGTTATGTCACTTAGGGTTGTAAACAAATTTTTATTAAGCAAAAATGCTATAGAACGTATATACAGAATTTTAATAAAGTTTGTAGTACAAATTTCATAGGTGACAATGAAATACTTGAGGTCGTGAAAGGAATTCAATAGCTAGCATAGCGAATAGCTTGGAAATCGAATTCGACGCGAATCCGATCGGGACTTAGTCGAATCTCCTAAGTCGGGAAACGCTTTGATGAAGCTAAGTTCGACAATTCTTGTAGAAGAATCGGATTAAGTAGTGGTATGGTCTTAAGGCTTGTTTTAGTAGCCTAACATGCCATCTCGAGTATGAAATAGGTGGTTTAGCAATTCAAGCATCGAGTTGGATTTTTAGGGCGCTTTAAAAATCATGCATGGCACGTTACCGCCAGTTTCAGCGTCTGGGCGTGGTCACCATGCCTCGGCCCAGTGTCGCCACTCGTCCACGCGTGCACACACATGCACCGCTATGCGGGCTCTGCATCGCCGCTGCCGTGCTCACGCACACGCTCACGCACGTGCCCACGCATGTGACTCACGCGCGCACTCACGCGCACGTCATCGTCTTTTGCTGGGGGCTATGTT